CCACATCGTCACTGTTTACAACACGGCAGCACATGTAACAGAGCAGACGGTGGTGCGGAGTAAAGTCCAGTGTCGCCTCTGCTACATTTTCCACAGGTGTTCAATCAAACCTGCATTTCCTACGTCTCATTCTGGTGGAATTCTGCTCGGAGAACCTTTAACGCGGCTGGTTTGAGAGGAGTTGTGGGTCGGGACGGTGCTGTGCTTCAAAAAGCCCATATCTGATAAACCCCGCTCTTAGACGGAGGCCTCGGGGGGGAGAAGCCAGTCGCAGGCTTTTCCACATAGCTGGCTATATCTGGAGAACAGAGCGGCAGCAGCAGAAAGAAAAGAGAGAGAATGCGTGTGAAGCTGCCAACAGCAGCAGTAAGTCATCCAGAGCAAACACAGCTGATGGGGTAAACCCTGCCTGCATGCCTGCTCACCCCCAAAACTCCATCCATCCTACAAACAATGCTCATCATTATCTTGAGGAAGGCTTTAATGCCATCCGCCATACTCTAATCAATAACATGCAATACTCCAGCTCCCTGCAGCTTCCTGAGGGAGCGCCGCTAGCCGACGCGTCCTCCTGTTAGTAACAGCTGACATATAGAGACAAACATCTCTGCTTTGTTTAAACACGCCGCCCAGTCGTAATGCGTTTCCTCCCCGACACGTACGGCAGCGCCTTGGCTCCGGTCCGAGGTTCATCGAGGGTTCAGCGATGTCCCGACGTGACCGCCGTGCGAACGCCGTCCGTGGAGGCTAGCGTTTACAGACGAGGTGCGACGTCACAGGAAGAAAGGGATCTGGTGGCGGAAGTTTGGGTCTCTTCAGCGCCAACTCTTCAACTTGTTTCCTAAACATCTCTTGTCTAGGCTAACGTTTACGCTAGCCGTGCGTTCAGACAGGAGCGTTGAAATAAGTCCAATGACGTCGGATTAAACAGTCGGAACCAAATGATTCCATCTCCATGGACTGATTTCTGTACACGTGAGAGACTGAAAACAAAACACCGAATGATTGAACATCGATTGAAACAACGCTGTTGGTCCATCCAGTAGAGTCCAGAGATGTTCCCAGCTGTTCCAGCGGTCGTCTAACTCTTCACTGAGACACTTTAAGCCAGTTTTTGCTTTAACTCTCTGGACACATTCCTCTGATATCATTCTCCCTTTTTCACGTCTACTCTTGGACTCCTGCTGAATGAAAATCGTTGTTTGGCGCAATTAAGGATCAAACAAACACCCAAACTGCACCTCAGAGGGGAGCTATCGCGTCGCTAAAGTCTTGCTGTGCCAGAAAATAAAGGCTGAAAACACGTCAACAGGTTTCTTGATGGCGCCTCCCCTCAACAACACAACATTATAAAAAAGTACAGCATTAACGGTTCTTTTCAACCACAGCCGACAGTTTAGCGGCTCGCGGTGCCTTCGTGACCAAACGCATCTTTCCTGGAAGTCAGAATCTGCAGATCAGCTCCTCATTTGTTGTTTTTTAGGGATGACGAGCACAAAAACCGGGATACAGAACCGAATGCTCAACACATGAATTCATGAGAAAAAAAGCTAAATTTGAAGCACTTTAAAGGCTGACTGGAGTGGGGTCATTAGAACTGGACATGTCTTTTAGGAAGGTTTAGAAGGAAGCGCGCAGAGGAACCGGTGGATCAGAACATCCAGTGTCAATCTGCTGGTTTTGTTTAGTTTGTTGTTGTGTTTAAATGGGAACTCGGAGGTCTGCTGGTCCCTGAGGTCAAACGATTAACCCTCTGGGGAGCGTGACCATCCACTACGAGCTGATGGGAAGTTTTTCCAGCTGGAGGCAACGTCACACGAGGCAAGATGAAGCAGAAGACGCTGCGTGGAAGAGCACCTCTTAGTTCTGGCTGGCAGCAGCAGCAGCGTGGTCGTGTGTTTTCTTTTCTCTGGCCCGCCGAGGTTTTCTGCATCGGCCGAGCTGCTTCTCTGCATCTTGGTCTGAGGTCAGAGCCGTCTGGTATTTCACCATGTAAGGCTGCACAGCTCAACACTCCCGGGACGAGGAGAGAAAAAACAAAAATGGGAAAGCATTTTCTTGGTGGAACAGATTTTATAATTATTTTTCAGCTGGAAACAAAGAGAGAGAGAACGACGAACTCCGGCTTCACACAGCAGCAGAGCAGAGGTGGTCACTTTAAAGCCTCAAACCCCGGAGCCGTGAACAAACTGAGCAAAATGTGACATATTTTACTGATGCGTTATTCGACCGTTAACGGTGAGAGAACCATCCATCAGTTATACGTCTACAAACCCAGTCCACTTTTTAAAACAGTAATCAGGATTTTGTGGCAGGTTTTAAGCTGAAAACTTTGTCGCCATCCGATTCTGCGACGCTCCTCCGCACAAATGGCGAGTGATGAGGAAATGCAAAACTCCGAGCTTTAAATCGTGACGTTTTGTCTTTATTCTACACGCAGCGTTTAAAAAGACACCAAGAAATGAACAGATTCTGCAAGAAAATAAAAAAAATCTGCACCTGAGTGGTAAAACGTGTGCAACAGGTTTCGTAAAATAAAGAAATTCAACTCGTTTTTTGTGATTAAACGGCGCAGAAGGCGTTTTTAAGTGCTTTCTACTTCTGTCTGTGGCTGACTTCATGCTCACAGTGAGTAAAGGTCGTCATTTGATCGGCAGCTTTCAGAAAACACACTTTTTTGTTTTGTTCCTGCTTCATTTTTCCTCACCGTGTGGCTCGTTTTTAACTGCATCATGAAGTCCTGCAGCTCGACAGAAACAGAGCAACCGTGACTGTAAGGAGAGGGAGCTCCATCCATCATCTCCACACCTTAATGCTCACCAGGGTCGCAGGGGGGCTGGAGGTTCACCTGGACAGGTAACCAGTCTATCACAGGGCTACACTTAGAGACAGACAACCAAGCACACTCACATTCACACCTACGGACAATTTACAATCACCAATTAACCTCAGCATGTTTCTGGACTGTGGGAGGAAGCCGGAGAACCCGGAGAGAACCCACGCTGCACGGGGAGAACATGGAGACTCCATGCAGAAAGATCCCGGGTGTCCTCACCGGGACGCCAACCGGCGACCTTCTAGCTGCGAGGCGACGGTGCTAACCACCCGAATGTGGCACAATGACACCACCAAAGTTCTTAGATTATTTATGCAACAGAAGCTGGAGTCCATCTTGTCTCCTGCTGAGAGTTTTTCAGGGTTGACAGACGGACCTGGAAACCGGCTTGTTCGCTCTCCATTCAGAAAACAACGTTCAAACACAGCTTCTTTCCTCCTCCTGCTAACAACATATTTCTCATTATGTAAACCGGCTTGTTCCCGGAGCAGAGGACCCGTCTGGATCGGTGTGATTTAAGACCGCCACAGACGAACCAGCGTTTCCTCGGCAGCTAACAGCAGAAGCAACAACGACGTGACTGACGGCCTGTTTACGAGCACGTTCTCCATACAAGGCAGACGCCACGCTTCCTGGGGGTTTATTTTTACTCTTTCCGGACTTTTTCTGAACCTCTTGTCTCTTTTGATTTCTCCAGCGAGGAGGATGATGTCCAGAACTTCACAACGTCGCGCTGAGATGTTGCTTCCTCCAGGTCGGTCGCTAACGAATCCGTCATCTCAAACGCGACAACGCGAGCGATTTTGGAGGCGGCTGAACTGACGGTCACACGACCCGAGCTGAGATAATGAGGCTATTTGTGAAATGATGCTGCCGCCGCTGCTCCGACAGCATCGGGATCAATTCCCAGGACGCTCACCGGCGTGCTCGTAGCCAGACTGTATATTTAGAGGTGCCATCAGCTGTCGGTGCCGCTGCCAAGTGTGTGTGGATGAAGACAATAGAGGGGTCCAGCTGCGGCGCCGGATTAAACTGTCACCAGTGTTTATAGTCAGAAACAGAACTTCACCGACACGATCTGAACTCGATGAGCGGGAGCTTCTTAAAAAGCTGCTTCTGAACGCGTTTTAATGCCATAAACCACCAAAAAGAGAGAAAGTGAAAATTTCTTTGTTTAAGTCACGATAAAAATCGAAATAAAAAACAATCTTGTGAATTAATTTTGCTTTAACAGAATCAGATTTGGTTTGTTTATGTGTTTTTTAATGACACGTGTAGAATAAAGTGACTTTTATTTGATATTTTTGTTTGTTTTTACCAACAGAACTGTGCCTCATACGCGATACGTTCAGGGACCATCGGAAAGTTGAAAATCTTGTGAATTCATTCTGCTCTGACAGATGGGTTTGTTTGGATTTTTTATAACAAAACATGTAGAATAAAGTGACTTTTACATCATAACTTTGGGTCATTTTTTCCTGAATGAACTTTGCGTCACACGTGATACGTTCAGGGACCATCGGAAAGTTGGAAATCTTATGATTCATTCTGCTTTTACAGATTTTCGCTGAATCTTGTTGAGATTTCTTTGGGGGGAATGAAGTGAGTTTTATTAAATATTTTCGGTCATTTTTTCCCGACAGAACTTTGCGTGATACGTTCAAAGACCATCCTTTTGTCCATTTTTTTTGCGGTTTCTTTTAGAGAAAACAGAGTCTTTCCCGTCAAAATCCAAAAACCAACAACAAGTCCTCCTGAAGCGGCACAAACATGGCCCCCGCTGTAGATCTGAGCGAACCTCACCTAATTGTTGGATAATTATGAGGTGTTTTTGGCAGGTAGTTAACGATATCGTGCACCGCTCCTGGACCCGTTCAGCCGGCGTTTCTTCCATCGGCATCCGGCAGCACAACGTCCATTTCTCTAACAGAAACCAGAGCCTGTCGACGCTCCAGAGTTTCCAGAAATGAAATAAAATCTAAAAGCAGCACATTCTGGCTTTACTGAAGATCCAAACACCTAAAGCTGCTCCCCGTCCTGCCGCTTGGGTTTAAAACGCCCTGATGTGTGGCTTGGCTGCCAGATGCTGCAGGTATAACTCAGCGGGCTGACGCCGGCCCGGTTCTGCCTGTGAGGACGTCCTCCCTCCCTCTGTTTCCCCTCCCTCCCTCCCTCTCCCTCGCTGTGTTTACAGCCGTGCACAGCGCTGCATATCTGACATTTCTCCCTCAAACTCCAACCAGCTCTGCTGCTCGCGTCTGAAAGGTAAGAACCAGCATCCTCTGCTGCTCTGATGGAGACAGCAGCGACCGCTTAGACCAGATAGAGATCAGAACCAGATGGCTGTGAAGGTGCTCGCTGGGCTTTTTAGAGTCAGCTGCTGCACACGAGGAACTTGTTTGACTAGTTGTGTGGTTGGATGAACTGTGGGAGCAGCGTACCGGGAGGTGCTGGTGCTCCGAGCAGACGGATGGAAGCCGGCCTGAGCCTCCCGGAGGGATAAACACTCATCCCCACTTCTTACGCTCCCATCGCCGGCACACGGTTGTTATTTCAGGGCAGCACTTTGCAGCAGCGTGTAGCTGGACATGAAAATCCAGATGAGCAGTAACGTGGGCGTGGAAACTGTTCTTCATGTTTTTCCACAAAGCTTCCCCGGCGACTCGGAGATGTTGCTCCACCATGACCTCTCAAGGACGTAGGACTTTAAAAGATTTAAAAAAAGGGTTTGATCGTCACGAAATCAGCGTTTTATGTTCATTTAATGATCTTGGCGAGATTTCTGGTGAATTAAACCTGAACTCAGATGACACCAGCTGACATCTGAAGCCTCACATCACCTCGATGTGGTCAGAGTACGACAGACGGATTGGCTCCACACAAAAACTTAAAACCGATCTTTTCTGACGTCTGGTCCGACTGTGGCCCAGTTAGATTAATAGGTCAGCACCGGTCGGCTGTGTAACCCACATGTTACCGCTTCACAGCTGCCAGCCGCTTTCTGAGAGGATGTGAGGAAGTTTTTGATCCATTTACGACGACTTTTAAACATTTAAAGTGCAGCACGTCTCTCGTTTAAAGCTGCGGCGACGCCGTCCGACGGCACAAACCGGCCCGTTGTGGAAACACGTTGCCCCGAGCCTGTGATGGTCCCGCGGCGGGCGTTCAGCTCCTGGCAACGGCCGCCGACAACAGCTGATTGTGTTTATAAAAACAGGACGCGCGTCTTTCAGCAGAACAAAAGGAGTAATCTGTGCCCTAACGGCGAGAATCGGCTAAAAATAAAACTGGATTTACGAGCGGGCTTTACGCCGTAAACATGGAAGATGAGCCTAAAAATAAAGAAAACTTTTATTTGTTTTATTGCAGCATCAAGTAAACCCAGTCAGCTGTTCTGGTGTTTTATTATTAGCGTATTTATGTTGTTAACACGACTTTGTGGAGCATTAATGATCCAAGTTAACAACAAAACCATGGATCAGGACTTTTTTTTTTCCCATTTTCTTCGATCAACTGATTAATTGTTCAGCCTATAAAATGTTTATCTTCATAAAGGAGGAAAGAAACCAGAAAACATTCACACTGAGAAGCTGCGATTTAAGCGCTCTGTTAGCTTATAAAATACGTCGTGCAGTTCTGCCCAAACCATCGCGGCCTTCTGGACAGTGATTCACGAAGCTGCCATCCAGAACAAACCCGATGTTCACCGTCGTCAGCAGCAGGTTTAGACTCACGCTAGTTAGCGCGTGTTAGCGTTTAGCTCGCGACGACTTCCTGTTAACTCGTCCGTTCACTTTATTCTCAGTTAAAAAGCTGCTAAACATAAACCATGTGCACCAGGAAGTCTGCACGAAGCCATTAGGAGGTTAAAATTCAAGGACTTTCCAGGTGAACTGGGCTCAAAACCACCAGAAGCTATAAAACCAGAAAGAGTCGTCAGATTATCGGCTTCACGGCAGCCGTCGACAGATTTAATCAGAAACACTTCATTCTGCACGGCCTCATGTAACCTCTGAAGACCCGAGCTCTTGCTTGATGTGCATTTTATAAAGAGACATTTTTAAAAAATTAAATAAATTAAATAAATAAATAAGTATAAAATAAGAATAACATAATAATAAAAACAAATCAACTACCGTGGTAATACAACCCAAAATGTGACGCATGTGGA